TACTTCAGAGGGACTATACAGAGCCTTGCCTGGAACATAATTTTTCACCATTATTAGTACTACTACGGATGACTTCAGTGGAAACACATACTAACATTTATTTCACATTAGATTATATTCTTTAAAGCTTTCACATTGCACCCAGTTGTTATTTCACTGGCAACTTGAACCACACAGTCCAGACCAGAGGCTGGCACATGGTTAGCATTCAAACAAATACTTCTGAATGAAAGAATGAATGAATGAACAACTGTGGTAACTAAAAGTAGGAAATATGGGCATGAGAGGTAGAAAAGTTCAATAAAGCTTCCCAAATTCTGATCAAGAGGTACTCTCTGAAAGAGAAGACGTCATTTCTTTTCCCATTAAGTGGTGGAAATTTTCAGCAAAAGAGAATTGTCTGGAGTAACTTTAATGAGCCCAAAACAAATAAAAAAATATGTAGAGGTTTATATGAAGAAATAAACACATGAAAAGGAGAAACTTCCTTTGGAAATAAAAGCAAAGTTAATAAGCACTTCCTCCTAAAATGTCAAAGGTACTTGACGAACGAGGCTGCTGAATGATTACATTCATTCTGAGGTTTAACACTGGCACCAAGGAAAATGAAAAGGCTCTTTCTCTTTCAAAGTTTCTCTCAAAAAATTAAAGGCATGAGTCAATGCTCAGCATGTATGTATAGAAAATAAGCAAAAGGAGAGGGGTGGATAGGAACAGACTACCTGGGTGGGGGGGGAAGCTGGCTGTCCCCAAAGGGCCTCCCAGGATATTCTCATTACGCTGACCCATGTCTGGCCCCCAGACACCTAACTCTCAGGGCATTCAAAACAGATCTGTCTGTCTCTCTTGTTTCCTCTGCTTCCTCCTCTTCACACACCCACTTGAGGTGTTAGACAAATATCTAAATCCCAAGTGCCAATTTATTAATTGACAATGTGGCATAAAAACTGTTGCCGAGTCTAGTAATTCACGTCAGCAAATCATCCACAGTCCTGTCAGAGAGTGAAATCATTGCCTCAAGCCTGCTGGGTAAGCATGGACTCAAAACAAAGGATAGTTGACAGGATTAACCAACTATTTCAAGCACTTGGCAAAAGCCTCTCGCATCCATCTCCATGGGAGCAAAGGCCTTGCTGGGACTGAAACCCTCAAAATCTACTGTCCAAGCTCCCTCTCCTTGGACAGTTTCTGGGGCCAGTATTTGCTCCCTTGACTCAGTGATCTAAAAGATGTGGTCTTTCTTTATATAGGTTTTCTATTATGTATGTTTTTATGTATTTCTATTATCTATGTTTTCATATATTTGTATGATATATGAATACATTAAATCAAATTACGATCGGGGCTTCTTGGCCTAGAAATGATTTAAGTGTCTTTAGCCAACTTTTAATCTGTGAGAATTATAAAATATAGCTTTCAGAAGATAATCTCACGTCTCTGATTTCCAAGTTTTAATCAAAAGCCTTATTTTAACCTCCATGTATCAATACATAATATATTATTAATGGAGAATAGTCAGAAGAAAGGCAGGCAGGGGCAAGGGGCCCCGTCCTAAGAGAATTATTCTACACAACCCTGGAAGGAGCCCTACACTCTTTCCCACATGAACAACTCCCTGGTAGGTAGATGAGCACATGGACAAAAACCTGATTGGGTGACAGATGCAGGGAGGGTTAATCAGATTAAAACAGCCTGCCAACAATCTCATAAAAACCCCTAAACTTAGAAACGCCAACAGCAACCCTCTCAGGTGCCCTCCCTCTTCTTCGGGAGCTTTGTACTATCCCTCAATAAACTTAACTATCACTCAATAAACTTTGCTTTGGTGCCCACCACTCTTCGTCTGGTCTACCTCTTCATTCTTCAAAGCGGTGTGACCAAGAACCATGGGCACTGAAGGAAAAGAAATCCTGAAACATTATTAGAAACAGGACTACCGGGACACCTGGGTGGCTCAGTCGGTTAAGGACCTGCCTTCGGCTCAGGTCATGATCCCAGGGTCCTGGGAGCAAGGAGCCTGCCGCTCCCCCTGCTTATGCTCTCTCTCTCTCTCTCTGTCAAATAAATAAATAATAAAAATCTTTAAAAAAAATAAGAGAGAAAGAAACAGGACTAAAAATGGTAGAGTATAATCTCAGTTATATATATATATATATATATATATATATATTTTTTTTTTTTTTTTTTTTTTTTTTTTTTTTAAAGATTTATTTATTTTGGGCGGGGAGGGCAGAGAGAGAGAATCCTCTAGCAGACTCCCCACTGAGCATGGAGCCAACTTCGGGCTCAATCCCAGGATCCATGACCTGAGCCAAAACCAAGAGTCTGATGCTTAACCAACTGACCCGCCCAGGTGCCCCTCAATTATATTTTTTAAATGAAATGAAAAAGTGACTGCCTAAAGGAGCTAGAAAAGATCGGCAATACTCAATCTGTTCTGGTCAATTAATAAGCCATCTTATGTACCTTTGCTTAATCTTCTTAAAGATATACAGCAAGAACAGGGACACGTACTGATGAATCATTCCTCAATAGCACTTACATAAATATTCTTATATTTTTGTTTCTATCACATCCAACATTGTTTTACATAATCCAGTGTTAAGAGGGCTCTTCCAGCTTCACCCACTCCAGGTCCCCACTTCCTTCCCCCACTCCATCCGCTCAAAGATTTTAAGGTCTTTCCATACAAGAACCATATCTGATTTATGGTTATATTCTTTGGACCTGTCCACAAAATGCAGTCTGACGTGAGCAGGATGGACTATGTGACTGAATATCTATTCACTCAACTCAAACAACCTTAGATAACATGGTCTTAACAGCTGCCTAGAGCACATGGGACATTTTTAATTGAATACCAAAGATACAGAATCCCCTCCTATTGCTGATTTTATTTTTTTTTTAAAGCAGTTTTAACTTTAAATAATTCAGCATTTAGAGTTGATTTCCTCTGACTTCCAGGGCCAAGTGTCACTAGGACAGAAAAACCTCAGTTCTAAGTACATGTTTCCTTAATTAAGAAGACAGACTATAGCTAGTGACTGCTTGAGAAGACAGTTCGCGTTTGCGGGAACAGAGATGGAGACTACCATGTTGCCTTTCCTGCTTACGCCTAATCCTTCCTCCAACTTTGTTTTCTCTATTAATTGGATAAAACAGTCTGTATGGGAGACAGAGAAGAGGTCTGTTTAACATCACAAAGATTCCTTCTATAATTATAGCATGGTTTGGGCTGACATCTTTTTAATGTGCTTTTTTTCAGCCTAGATTATTTTTCCTTTTGCAACCGTGAAATTTCCTTACATGTATAAAGAATATAACTAGTGTAAAGAAATTAAAAAATAGTAAAAACTATAAGCTAGTAAAACAAGTATTGAAAAGTTGTGTATTTTATCTTATGTATATTTTACCACAATAAAACTAATATTCAGAGTAACCTGTATAAGTCGGGAGACTAACATCATGAGACAGTACATATGCAATCTATTACAGATACTTAATGGGCCCCACGTGAAGGAGAATTCCAACATCCTTACAAAAGCACCAAAGAAATTAAAGCATCAAAAACAAACAAAGTCAGACATTAAAAGGGAGGAATTCTGTATGCCATGGTTAAGCTGCTTCTTTTTACCAAAAAAAAAAAAAAAAGTAAGAAATGTCAAAATCATTTCCATATCCCTGAACCACAGTGTCAAATTATTCTTTTAATTTTATCCGTTACCCATGGGATACAAGAAACCCTCCCTTAAAAATAGGTATGCACTAGAGAAAAAGATATTCCAAATGCAAAAAGAAGTATGTAGTAGACAAACACAACCATTGAACGTGGATAATAATCTAATTAAGCACACTTGTTGTCTTAGACAGCGGCTAAGCTGCAGGGATGGTTCAAGCTCTCCTTACCTAAAGGAATGTGAAAAGGCTTGCAATCTGCAAGAAGCCACAGTAAGCATTAAAAAAGAAAGGAAGTTCTGGTAAATCTAAAACAATGAAATAACCTACTTTTTTAAAAGTTGTGTAAGTTTTTAACTGGACTCTAAAGTGCTATACAATCAAGCTGGCATAAAAAGAAATGAGAGCACCAACAAGATGTATATAAATTGTCAAAAGAATCCCAGTGAGCTATGTTTATTACACAATGCTTAAAATGATGCTAGTTCAGATATAATAAGCAAGCCATTTGGTTTTTTGGTACAGAGTAAATAATACATTGATTGCCAAACTTATTCAACCAATCATTCCCCACAAACGAAAACACAAAGTCATGCAATCTGAGGGTTTTGTTGATAAAACAAAAAAACTTTCATGCCAAGAGAAGCACAGCAAATTTAAACCATGTTTGTCACTTTCAGAGCTATTCTAATCAACATGGGGGGTGCTGCAGGAGGGGGAACACACAAAAACACTGTGGTTTTATCGAAACTGCCACAAAAATTCTGCAGACTAATCTACAATATAAATGCAAAATGAAAAGCAAAGCTCAATAACAAGATCTGGGCCTAAGCATGGATGTAGAGAGAGCTTACAAATTAATACACATCAGTACACAGATAAGCATGTCATAATCACACCACGGTGTAACAATGTCCCACAGAACTGAAGGCAGGTCTCAGTCCAAGCGTGCAGTCAGTGCTCCTGAACGTGTCCCCAGCAGGACAACAGGCTCGGCCCACAACCACAAACTTGCAACTACAAGAGACATACTTACCCTGCATGATCAGGAAGGACTAAAAGGACAGAAGTACACAACCAGAATTTTCCAACAACCTTAAATGTATTCGTAAGATGATTATTTTGAATGCTATGCCTAAAAGTTGGAAGGCTACACCTAAAATAATTTAGGCAATATTTCAGGTCTGGTTTGAAGGAGTGGGCTCCCTCACCAGAAAAGAGGAGAATCCAGCATTATCCACAGCCCAAGTCGGGAAATAAATGCAACCACAACATACTTTAATTTGCCTCAGCTACTTAATAAGCAAGGAGAAATGAGGACATACTTTACATCTTCCAGCTTTTTGGTGATGACTGATCCAACAGATGAGAAAGCAGCTGACGCCTTCTGTCCAGCCTGAGATAAGGTTTCAGATGTCTTTTTGTATCTACATTGAATTATAAAAGAACAAAGAAAAGTTAAGCTAACCTTTTCTAATAGCAGTTATTTAAAGCACAATCACCAGCTCTTGGAAAGCGCTCAAAAATTAAACAAATTTTTTTTTACAACATCCAAACTCCTTCACAATCACCAGGTGGGCATCATCAACTCGCCTGCTCCTTACCCCTCATTCGGGTGCTGTCTTCAGCAGTTCCCTAGGATGGCCACATAGATAGATGCCTATAAAGGCAGGGCCAAGGAAATCAGGGTACAGGGCAAAAACATTCATGGAGAAAAGATGAAAATGAGCCAGAGGCTGAAAGAAATTATACCTCTTACTCTCTTCCACTGAAGCCAAACAAAACAAAAATGAAATCAAATTCCTCACATGCCTTTTATAACTGTATCTCCTAAAAAGGGACCAGAAGCAAGGTAAGGCTCATGTGTACCTTATTATTCAAATAAATTATATGGACTATAAAGAATTTTTTTTTTTTTTTTTTTGCATGTCTGCAGAGCTACCAAATAAGGACTTGTAGACTCTTGGCAGAGTACGTATAAGCTGCGACACTCAAAATGACTTGAGTGTGATATTTGCTAGGACATAAAGCTAGCATTACCACCTCCCTCTCCCCATCTACCCAGGGATCAGTGAAGGGAAAATAAAAACAAACGAATATGGTAGCCACAAAGAGGTTAAGATCCTCACGTTATAGAAAGGAATGCTCAGGCATTTTTACTTATCCCATCAAGATGAAACACTAAAACAAAAAGTTTATGGTGATACACAAAGAATCATTTCCTGGACTTCTGCGGGTAGAAAGTGGCTCAAAGGGAATGGACACCCTAGTGCTGTCCTGTCAGGATGCCGTCAGCCTCACTGCTGCTGGTCACGAGCTCAGCACCGGGGACTCAAAATACAAATGACAAAGAACACACTTCAGAATCTGTTCCTAGAAGCTTGCTCCTCCTGGTGCTGGGAAACAAAACTGCATCGTGATAATGCCATATCAAAATCTGTGTAATCAAAAAGACAAGAAGATTAAGGGGCTTCTGCCACCAGCACCTATGAGAGGCGATGAGCCAAGAGTCTTATGCTACGTATAGAGCAGATGAAGGAAGACTTGGCTCTGTACTTGGTCAACCCGGAGTTCGAATCCTGCCCCCCACATTTTTGAGTTTTGTGACCTCAAACCTTACCTGATCCTGTTTCCTTATCTCAGGCTACCTCACCTCCCACCCTATTTGGTCATTTTGAGGACTACGTGACACATTTTTGGCAAGTCAATATACAACACTGTTGGAACTTATTTGTTATTACTTCAACTCACAGACGAGGCTGGGTTTTCTTTCTATCCCCTAGAACAGTGTGGAAGACCAGAGTTAGAGAAGAGTCAGGTACACTTGAGGACTGGGCGGGGAGAGCCCTGTGTAGTACAAAGAAAAGTTGCAGGAGCATCCTCATCCCCTTTCAATTCTCCCGCCCAGACAAAAGGAGCAAAAGTGTCCTTTACATTCTCTAGAAAAAGGTACGATCAAGGGAACGTACGCAGATGTTGCTGTCACATCCTGCCAGCCTTTGGCAATGTTCTGTTTTAGTTCCTGTAGTGAATTGATCCCAAGTTTCCGTTTGATCTCTGCTAGATGTTTCTCTTTGGCTGCTAACACTTGAGACAGAGTCTGGATTTCTTCTTCTACCTATGAGAAAGGGGGTGGGGTAAAAATACAGCAAGAGTCATTCAATAAGTGAAGATTATTAATGCCAAACTGTGCTCAAAATTCTAGAGTCGTTTAAAACCATTTTTTGATTCATTTATCTGTCTCTTTAAAAACAACATATAGCGGGGCACCTGGGTGGCTCAGAGGGTTAAGCGTCTGCTTTCAGCTCAGGTCATGATCTCCAGGTCCTGGGATCGAACCCCATGTCAGGCTCGCAGCTCAGTAGGGGGTCTGCTTCTCCCTCTCCCTCTGCCTCTCCCCCTGCTTGTGCTTTTTCTCTCTCAAATGAATAAAATTTTTAAAAAACAAAAACAAAAAACCAACATATAGCATGTTGTTAAGTAAACTGGTTACATGCCGATCTCTCCTATAGAGCTTCTCTTTTCTCTTCTTTTTTTTTTTTTTTTTGGAGAGAGAGAGCATGTAAGTGGGGGGAGAGGGGCGGAGGGAGAGAGAGAATCTCAAGCAGGCTCCATACCCAGTGCAGAGCCTGACATGGGGCTCCATCTCACAACCCTGAGGTCATTACCTGAGCTGAAATCAAGAGTCTTTTCTCTTCTTTTTATTTCTATCTTGAGTTGTCCTCAGTCTTCTCCTCTCTCTCTATACTTCCTTACTCTGCTATCTCATGGAAGCTGAGGGCTCAAACCTCCACGCAGATAATATTCAAATTATTCTAACATCCACTCTTCTGACCCCTGGTCTGCATTTCCAGATGGACACTTCCACTTGAATGCCCACAGAACTCATATTTGTGTACCAAATCAAACCACTCTCCCCTAAAACATGCACAGCCAAGCCAAATCGAAATCCAACCTTCCTGTACATTTCATATGAGTTTATACTGGAAATGTCTGTCCCAGGGCCTGCCAAAGCCACAGCCATAAACAAATCAAACTGTCTCCCCCAGAGAGCCCCACAGAAGTCCCGCATGGACCCCTTGATGCTGACCGACCAGCCTTAGCTGGACAGTTAGAGAGGTAAGCCCCTGACCCAAGGACAGCCAACCAATCGAGTGGCTACCACCCAGTGATGTGCCTGCTGTAAAAAGATGCTCCACTAATCATGGTTTCTCTCATTCAGGAATCCAGTTTGAGAAACTGAGATAACACTGGGAGTAGAAGCTAGAAAGACTTGGATAAAGAAGCCCTAAAGTACAGGTAGGGCACAGTGAGATGAGGAGATATGGAAGCTTAAAAATATTTGAGGAGGCCAAAACTCCAAGCAGAAGCTAGGGAGAACAGAAAATGACTTAGCAGAAGAAAAGCCCGAGTCAGAAAAACAGAGAGCAAGAGGCAGACCCACCAGGACAAAGAGAGCTCACTGGGAAGAGACCTTCTGTCCCAGGAAGTTGAAAAAGTGGGACGGTCATTAATATTCAAGACCCTTAAGAAAGATGGCTTCTCTTGGCTTGTTGCAAAGCCATATTCTCAGCCTCGATCTCACACTTCTATGATTCCAAAGACAGCATGGCCTTTGAAAACAATATATAGTGGGGGCGCCTGGTTGGCTCAGTTGGTTAAGTGTCCAACTCTTGGTTTCGGCTTAGGTCATGCATGATCTCAGGGTCCTGATATCGAGCCCCAACGTTGACAAGAGTTTGCTTGTCCCTCTCTCTCTGCTCCTTCCCTCCCCGAATAAATAATTTTAAAAAAATAAAATAAATAAAAACAACATATAGCGTTGTTAAATAAACTGTCTTCACTGCTGATTAAATCTTTACAGAACACAAAATGAAGAAAAATAGTACTCAACAAAAGGAGAGAAGAATAAATCAAATGTGAAGTGGCTAGCAAAACAAACATAGCTGTTTTTTTTTTAAGATTTTATTTTTATTTATTTGAGAGCACGAGAGAGACAGAGAGTGGGAAAGGGAGAGAGAGAGAGCGTGCACAAGCAGAGGGGAGGGGCAGAGGGAGAGGGAGAAGCAGGCTCCCAGCTGAGCAGGGAACTGGATGATGCAGGGCCTGATGCAGGGCCTGATGTGGGGCCCGATTCCAGGACCCTGGGATCATGACCTGAGCCAAAGGCAGATGCTTAACCAACTGAGCCACCCAGGTGCCCCAACAAACAGTTCTTAAGAGGGCATTAATTAGAAGGTAGGTCCAGTACAAAAATAATCCTCTGTGCTTGTCAGACAGGACCTCTCATTCTGTACCAGTTTTGGAAGTCACATTTAAGTGGAATATGAAAAGAAAAAGGCAACAATGAATGAATGAGGTTCAAAATCAAGTAAATTAAATGATTTGCCCTAAGTCATCAAACTAATAATGCAGGAACCAGAATTTCAAGCCCAGGTCTTCAGGCTCCACTTCTCAGTTTACTGGCTAATTCTCTTTGCACACTATTAGCTTTCCATTACCTCCTTCTCTACCCCAACTCCAACTTTTCATATACTCCAAAGAACAGACTTAAAAGATAAATACCCCTTGACACTTCCCTGAAGTTTCCTTTCCCTAATGACAGTTGAAGAGAAAGACCACTATAAATCTTACTGAACAATACATGACCCAGTGCATTCCCCACCTTTGTTGGTTAGATTGTGCTGCCAACATACCTAGCTCAACACATCATAGCTATCATTCTTTAATTCAACATATACATTACATATTATATATATAAAATACACACATTTTTAAAATAGGAGAAATATATATATATATAAAAGAATGACCTTTAAAGCACAAAGAATATATCTGATAAGGACCTAGTATCCATAACATATGGATAAAATACTTAGGAATAAATGTAAGGAAATATAAGACTTGTACACTGAAAACTACAAAACACAGCTAAAAGCAAAATTAAAGACATCTTAAATAAATGGAAAGATATTCCATGTTCAATGATTGGAAGACTTCATATTGCTAAGATGCCAATACTCCCCTACATCAACCTACAGATTCAATAAAAGCCTATCAAAATCCCAAGGGCACGTTTCGTGGGTAGAAAAGTAGATTCCAAAATTCATAAGAAATTGCAAAGGACCCTAAATAACAATTTTGAAAAAGAATAAATTTCAAAATTACTACAAAGCTATAGTAATCAAAATGGTGTGGTACTCTCAGAAGGATAAACACAGAGATGAATGTAATAGAACTGTAGGTCCAGAAGTAAACCTTTACATCAATGGCAATTGATTTTTCACAAGGATGCCAAGAGCATTCACTGAAGGTAGTATCTTCAACAAAGGGCACTGGGAAAACTAAATATTTACATGCAAAAGAAAAAAGTTGGACCTCTACCACAAACCATAAATAAAAATTAACTTGAAATAGATCAAAGGCTTAAATATAAGAGCTAAAAATCTTAGAAGAAAACATAGGGGTAAATCTTCATGCTCTGAGCTTTGGAAATGGGATTCTTGGATATAACACCAAAAGCACCAGCAACTGAAGAAAAATTAGATTTCATCAAAACTTAAAACTTACATGCATTAAGATACTATCAAGAAAGTGAAAAAACAACATAGAGAATAGAATATTTGCTAATCATGTATCTGATAAGGGTCTAATATCCAGAATATGCAAAGAGCTCTTATATCTCAACAAGAACAACAACAACAGAAAACAAACAAAAACAGGGGCGCCTGGGTGGCTCAGTTGGTTAAGCGACTGCCTTCGGCTCAGGTCATGATCCTGGAGTCACAGGATCGAGTCCCGCATCGGGCTCCCTGCTCGGCGGGGAGTCTGCTTCTCCCTCTGACCCTCCCCCCTCTCATGCTCTATCTCATTCTCTCTCTCAAATAAATAAATAAAATCTTAAAAAAAAAAAAAAGAAAAAGAAAACAAACAAAAACAATTAAAAGAAGGGGCGCCTGGGTGGCTCATTCGTTAAGCGTCTGCCTCCGGCTCACATCATGATCCCAGGGTCCTGGAATTGAGCTCATGTCGGGCTCTCTGCTCAGGGGGAAGCCTGCTTCTCCCTCTCCCATTCCCCCTGCTTCTGTTGCCTCTCTGTCAAAATAAATAAATAAAATCTTTAAAAAAAATAAAACAATTAAAAGAAAAACTGGGCAAAGGATTTGAATAGTCATTTCTCCAAAGAAGACAGACAAATGGCTAATAAGCACGTGAAGGCTCAATATCACTGGTCACTAGGGAAATACAAATCAAAACTATAATGACATACCACTTAACAATCACTAGGATGGTCATAATCAGAAAGACAGAAAATAACAAATGTTGGCAAATATGTAGAGAAATTGCTGACTGGGATGAAAAACGGTGTCCTTGCTCTGGGAAACAGTTTGGTGGTTCCCCAAAAAAGTTAAACATGGAATTACCATTTGCTGCGGCAATTCCAGTTCTAGGTATATACCCAAAGGAACTAAAAACAGGTGTTCAAACAAATACTTTTTTTATACAAATGTTCCTAGCTCAGTATCTACAACAGTAAAAATGTAGAAACCACCCAAACATCCATCAACACACAAACAGATAAACAAAATATGGTAGATACATATAATGGACTATCATTCAACCATAAGAAATAATAAAATACCAGGGGCTCCTGGGTTGCTCGGTCGGTTGAGCATCCAACCAGCTTTTTTTTTTTAAAGATTTTATTTATTTTATTTGAGACAGAGAGAATGAGAGACAGAGAGCATGAGACGGAGGAGGGTCAGAGGGAGAAGCAGACTCCCCGCCGAGCAGGGAGCCCGATGCGGGACTCGATCCCAGGACTCCAGGATCATGACCTGAGCCGAAGGCAGTCGCTTAACCATCTGACCCACCCAGGCGCCCGGAAACTGTTATTTTCTATTGTGCTTTATTTATTTTTTTTTAAGATTTTATTTATTTGAGAGAGAGAGAATGAGAGAGAGCGAGTACATGAGAGGGGGGAGGGTCAGAGGGAGAAGCAGACTCCCTGCCGAGCAGGGAGCCCGATGCGGGACTCGATCCCGGGACTCCAGGATCATGACCTGAGCCGAAGCCAGTCGCTTAACCAACTGAGCCACCCAGGCGCCCCTACATCCAACCAGCTTTTGATTTCGGCTCAGGTCATGATCTCAGGGTCGTGGGATCAAGCCCTGCGTAGGGCTCCGGGTGCAGCACAGAGTCTGCTTGTCCCTCTCCCTCCCCTTCTGCCCCTCCCCCTAGATCATGTTTGCACACGTGCTCTCTCTCAAATAAATAAATAAATGAAATCTTTTAAAAACATAGTAAAGTACCAATACACAATACATGCTATAAGAATGAACCTCAAAAACACTACACCAAGTGAAAGAGGCCACATACAAAAAGTAACATATACGATTCCTTTTAAATAAAATATCCAGAGTAAGTAAAGCCATAGAGACAAGGCATAAAGCAGGTTATTGCTGCCAGGGGATGAGGGAAGGGCGAATGAGGATGCCAGTTTAATGAGTGTGGGTCTCCCTTGGGTGTGATGGAAACGACACAGAGGTGACAGCAGCAGAAGACTGAAAGTGCCCACTGCCATGGAGTTGTGCACTTTTAAATGGTTAATTTCAAGAAAAAGAGAGAAAGGAAGGGAGGGAAAGAAGGTTCCAAGTGCCCACCTATATCCACAACACAGCAAAGGGGAGAGAACAAAGCCACTGATGCAGCTGAAAAGCCAAGTGCACTAGACCTAGTGCAGCCCCTCAGGTGATATTCACTAGGGCTCCTCTCGTTTCCTCCTTCACATCCTACTTCTCAGACCCACTTCACCCCTTAGATACCTTTTTTCATATAAAAAGAAACCGATTATCACGCTCTTCTATTTCTTCTCCCCCACTCCAGACCTCTAGGACAAGTAAATATATGTTGCTTTCTCTCCCCTGGAACAGAGGATGAGATGTTACCATGTGCTTTAGAAACACAAATGGCATTGTACGTGCAAAGCATGAAGTTCCAAAAGGAATGCTTCTTTACCTTTGCCAGTTCTCTTCTTAGCTCTTCTTGCTCCTCCTCTGACAGGGTCTCTGTGGCACTGATCGTAGCAGCAACATCTTCTCCTTCCTCAGGTACTGGGTCTGTTCTCAGCAGACCTTGTTGGGGATTAAAAAAAAAAAAAAAGTCTGTAAGGTATGAGAGCTAAGTAAAATTCTCCTTTAGGCTCCTCCACCACCCCAGCGAGAATAAAAACCAATTAGACTGGACCCATACATCAACCTTCTGTACCTTCAAATGACCCGGCTCTTCCTGCAAAGGACAAAAGAAAAGTCTCAGCTACCACTAAAAACCACCCAATTATACTCTGCCAAAATATGAATTTAGAAAAGAGAGCATTCACATAGCTTGTTCTTTTGCTCAGTCACAATATAGTTACTGCAAAGTAGAAGAGTTAAGAGGCCAAGAGTGGGATCTTGCCAAGGCTTTAAATGCTACACCCTAGTAAATCAGCATGACTAATAATTCACACTAACAAGGGGTTTGTAAATGTCTCTAGCTTCCTCTGCTAATCAAATCCAGCATTTAATCTCAGTCAAGAGCTGAACAAACTCAATACCTACAGAAATTTTATTAAAAAAAAAAAAGAAATTGTATTACATTTCTTTCCATTGTTAGTGGAGGTAGGAAACTCCCGTAGCTTAAAAAAAAACAAAAACAAAACAAAACAAAAAACTATATATCTCATCCAGATAACCCTGAAAAGTTGTAATGTATACAGAAATGACCAACAGCGGGGCGCCTGGGTGGCTCAGTCATTAATCGGCTGCCTTCGGCTCAGGTCATGATCCCAGGGTCCTGGGATCGAGCCCCGCATCAGGCTCCCGGCTGGGTGGGAAGCCTGCTTCTCCCTCTCCCACTCCCACTGCTTGTGTTCCCTCTCTCATGTCTCTCTCTGTCAAATAAATTAAAAAATCTTTAAAAAAAAAAAGAAATGACCAACAGCAACACAGAAGTTTTCCACATTATTTAAGATCAACTAGGCACAGTCACTCCCCTGGAATAGAGCCAACCACTATGAGTCCTTCACCCTGAAGAACCTGGTACTTCTTGAGTGGCCAAGGAGGCATTTGGCCCTCAACGACTCTCTTCTCTGCTGCCTAACCACCCATGCACAAGGCTAGGGTGAAGTCAACAAGCACCCCCCAAAACCTTGGGTGTAAAATTTAAGATGGCACCAAAAACTCGATATAAATAATTTTAATACTTCAATGCAATATTTTTTTAAAAAATCAAAGTTAATTCAAAGAATCTATAATGAACAAAATATCAAAATTTTAAATAGGCTCAGTATCAATGACTTTTCCTTCTGCCTCAGGCTCCAAAATGGCTTTGCACAGTACCATTCCCGATCTTGTCTCTGTTTAAAAGTTTAGTATTTTGTTTATCATGCTTTCATTTTGATTTTTCTGAAAACTGCATTAACATACTATTGGTCTTGACTGCAGAGCATCTGGGTGCCCCCTTAAATTTTACAAACTCAGGCAGGTGGCTGCTGGCCTCACTTGCCTTATCCTAGTCATAGTCCTGCCCATGCATCCCCCTGTCACAGAGGTCTGTGTTTTCACAGTCTCCTCTGGCAACAGATTTTTGGCGTAGGGAACCAGAGAAAGGTCTCTCCTTTTCCTGCTCTTCGCCTCTTTCTGCCAGTGGGCGTTACAGCAATCGCAGACCCCCACCACCCCCACGTCCATTTCTGAGAAGCGCTAGTTCAGCCATAGCAGGGACATGGCATCCTGCCCAGATCAAAATGCCAGGCAGCGGAAGACAGACTTCACAGGCAGGTGGAAAGGCAGGAGGGAGAATAACGACACTGTTCAACAAGCAGCCAGTGCCACGGCAAACCTAAAGGAAGTATATGAATCAATGACACAACCTGTATGCCCACTGTGTAAAAGGTACGAAGCCACCTGTTACAGGGTCTATCGCATATTAACCGCTAATGGCACCTAATAATTATAACAGCATGAGCGTAACAGCACCAAAACAGTGCCTACCTGAAAGGTGTTTACAGAACTGTTAAAGGAGTAAAAGTAGTACAAATAAGACAATTCAAAAACAAACCGGAGTGGGAAACAGAATATGATTAAGCCTTCTAATGCACAGACAGTATGTGACGGGTACAATCGGTAGATGGAAAAGCTCAATGAGTAATTGCTTCTGTAGGCCCCCTCTAAAATATCTTCAGACTGCCCAAGTAAGACTTCTGTCTTAGAGACAGAACAGAAATCTGATTATGTCACTCTCCAGCTTACAATCCTTTAGTGGTGGGTTCCCTGTTGTTTTCCAGACAAAATTCAACCCCGTCGTTTAGCACACAGGCCTTACTGGGCCCTGGTATCTGCCACTGGAACCCTCATACTCCAACCCCAGCCAAATCGAACTGTGGATAAGGTATGTACTATCAGAAATCACTGAGAAGGGCCCGTGTATGCTTGCAAATGCATCCCCTATGCCAGATCATGTGACGAGAGAGTATGAGACTGAGGATGGGAGAGGAGTATATGGAGCAATCATATAACACAATATAGGAAGAACCACAACAGAGTTGATTATAAATATTCTTTGTTTTATTTTGAAGGTTTTGTTCAGACTTCTCAAGTCTCCAACCAGAACAGGGCTCAAAAAAAAAAAAAAAAAAAAAAATCCAACAAAACTCTGGTGCTAAACCATGCTTTAAAATACAAAGGCTCTTTCATGCTTTTTAATAAATACTAGCTTGCGAATCTGCTTAAGGGGAAAAATGTAATATCTAATTACTAATAGCACTTTATTGCACAGCTGCCCAATTCCAGAAAGAATCTAGGGGGATTCTGATACTATTCAAGTATTTAGTTAGGCTACCAGGGAACATAAATTTCTCAGAAAAGGGGATCATGTAGTTGTCCACAGTTGGCTTCAGGACTTCCAAGATGACCTTGAGATTTTATATTCAGAATCATTAGTAACTTAGTAATTACAGGTTTTGTTTTTCCCATATTAGCCTGTAGGTGGCAGCAAATTATCAACGTTCAAATTTTAAGGTGTTGTTTGTTTAAGGGTAATCAAACGGAGGGTTGGGGGATGTAAAATGAAGAACACAAAGGAAGAACAGAAAGGCAGATACCAAAATCACTGGCAAAACATGACAGTCACGACTTAGGAAAATTATTAATAACCACAGCCACCACCACAGAGTGCATTCTATGTATATTCAAATCAGAACTAAGTGGTCCAAATACATGGTATCATTTACGTCCACCACTTCTGTGATGCGGAGATCTACCAGTTCCGGGAGGAAACGAAGCTTACCAAGGTTAAGCAACTTGCCCATGGTAACACACCTGAATGTATAGTGGGGTTACAATTTTGAACCTAGACAGCTCGATCTGAAAGTATAGGCTTAAAATCAGTATCTCCAAAGGACAAATGAGGACAAGAGTAGGGGGCTGAAGCTCCGACTTGTAAGAGATCTAGAAGCAATAGTAATTAAGACTCTGTACAAAGGAAAAGAACCTGGCAGAGTAGGACAAAAGCAATCTCTTCCCTTCCAAATGTATAGTTTCTCCAAACTTGGAGCCCTAGAAGTTTTTCTAGATATTATCCAATTTCCCCCTATGTTCAGGAAGAGTGTAATATTTATTGTAGAGGCAGAGTGTGGCTTTGGGGAGAAAAAAAATATTAACTTCTCATTCACAAGTTGGGAAGCAGGAGCATTTTAACATATAATTACTTAAACCATAAGTACGCCAAAAAAATTCTTATTCGATCATTAATTTTAATAGTTCTCCTCAGAATCTGATAGAAAACTGTTTTTAAAAGATGCCAAGAGGAACAACATATGATTAATATTTATTGAGGTCTAATCCACCAACCAGGGAGATTCACATTATCTCATTCTGAAAAAAAACATCTTAGAACCAACACCTGATGAAAGGAGTACAATTTATCTCCACTAGGAAAGAGAGACCCTCTGAGGTTAGTAATCTGCCCAGAATCACAGGTGAGATTAAAATGCAGGTTTTTCGGACTCCAAACTCTTGCTCCTTCACAAATACTTTTTCTTAGAGAAATTCCAGGGAGCAGGGAGGACGAAGGGCAAGCTGGAAGCAGAGGGCTGGGGAGGGACTTCCAATGTCCCCCGAGGGTGTAAGAACCCATGTGGATTCCTGGCTGAAAGTCACAGATGCGCCTGGGTTGCTCAGTCGTTAAGCGTCTGCGTTCTGCTCAGGTCATGATCCCAGGGTCCTGGGATCAAGCCCCACATTGGGCTCCCTGCTCCATAGGAAGCCTGCTTCTCCCTCTACCAGTCCCCCTGTTTGTGTTCCCTCTCTTGCTATGTCTCTCTCTGTCAAATAAATAAAATCTTAAAAAAAAAAAAAGTCATGGATACAACTGTAGAGCCCTAGTGACAGAAAACTGGGGATAATTTGTTCCTTCTGGTTGTTCCTATTTTAGCCACCTCCATAATTCCTGTAGTTGTGCAAAGAGTTTGCCTGTCTCCCCTCTCGAGTTACGTAGCAGAGAGAGCCTGGAGCCCACTGACCAACAGGCAAATGGCTAGGTGCCCAGGTGAGAGTCCCACTGCCAGGGGAGTGACAGGGAAGATGAACAGAGACCGGGGGATCACGCCCCATCAATCCTAAGACACAATTTTTTCCTTTATATTTACAACTTTGAACTCGAGATGCACTGAACAGGCAATCGGTTAAGCAGTCCTTGTGGCACAGTTGTTTGTCACCTGTAAACATGCTCCAAAATTGGCAAAATGGGTGTCAGGGACTGAGCACATCACAGACCTCTCTTTCAAGGTCTGTGTGGGAGGAAAATAAAGCAAGACATGGATTATTCCCAGTTGAAAAGCAATTCCAGTAAGTTAGGAAATGCACGGGAAGGTGTTTCAGGAAAACTCTAAGTTGGTTTACTCTAAAAAATATGCACAGGAGTGTTATGGTCAACATATACGTCTGAATAAACCGAAAAGAATGTTAACAAGCATAAAAAATTTTAAGTAAAATTAAAGCAATGTCTCTTAATCTTTCAACTTGCAGCAATTTCTCCCCTTAATGAACAAATTATAATGGTACATCCTAAAATCCATAGTGTCTTGGAAGAGATG